TCTTCCTCTTCAGATTACGGCCCATGTCCTGGGGCGGGAGGTGCTTCCAGCAGCCCAGAAGACCGAGGGGGCCTCAAGGATCCCCCTCCCCTCAGGGATGTTGGAGCCCCCTGGGGCAGCCCCAGGGGAGGGGCCTGCTCAGCTCAGCTGCAGTGTGAAGGAGGAGCCAGATGCTGACAGACAGGAGATGATGGGTGAGGGGGACCACGCCAGTCCTGGGTGCTCCCGACTAGGTTGAGGTCCTGGGAGGCGCTGCAGAGTTGGGTCCCAGGGCGGCAGGAGCTGAGGACACATGGCTGATGCAGGTGGTGGTCCTGCTCACCAGTGGTGGAGGTCACAGTACCCACACCACCTTCTGTGTCAGCTCCTGACTCTGTCCATTACCTTTGCTTCCCAGCTCCTCCTGACCCCCTGATTCCGGCCCAGTCCCCTGAGAGTCGCCTGGAACATCAGAAGCCAGCCTCTGCATCCCTCCTCCCCACCAAGATTCAGGTGAGCAGCCCCAGCTTAGAAGGGAGTGTCCTTGGTGGCTACCGTACGCTCTGTCAGTTTCCCAGGCCCTGTGGCTGGTGGCTCTTGGGCCCACTGCTACTCAGAAGTTAGTCTGTGTTAGCAATACTGACCCAGACCTTAAAGAATATAGAGGCTGACTGTTGGTCTCCTGTATTGGGAAGAACTTTGACCTCAGGCCCTGGATGTCCAGTTTGGTTTTCTCCTCTGAAGAGAAGTCTGAAGGTTTGAGGCTTTTGCAGTGCTAGGCTTGCTCCTGGTGATATGGGTGCTGTGGGGTGGCTAGGGGCACACGGTGACCTGCCCACGTCCCTGCAGGAGGAGTGGGGCCTGCTGGACCCATCGCAGAAGGAGCTGTACTGGGATGCGATGCTAGAGAAATATGGGACGGTGGTCTCCCTGGGTGAGGAGCTGGGCTGCCCAGATCACTGTGTCCATCCCCACTGCCCCTCTGCTCACTATGGTCCAGGCCCCATCACCAGCCCTTGGGGACTCACCATCCATAGGAAGCACCTTGGGAAGGGGTCCTCACAGCCACGCCTTTCCCTGCTCACACACACCTCCCATTCTGTGCCTGGATTCTCTCTCCTTTCCATTACTGTGGGAGCCCCTTGCCTGACTGCTGTTCCCCTACCTGGCAGGTATGTCGCCGCCCAGGCCTGAGGCACACACCCTGCCCCGATCAGGGGTTCCACATGCGGGGCCGGGAAGCCTCCCAGGCTTTCATCCAGGTGAGTGCTGCTTCGTGTACCTGCGGACTTGCATGCACATCACGGGTGGGAGACAGGCATGATGGGGACAGGCTCACCTGCCACCTTGTCACCTCCCCCAGGAAATGGTAGTGGGCACCCCCATCCATCGCAGGCACCTGGTGTGCAAGGACGGACCTTGTCCTCTGGGCCTGGGATTGGGCCCAGACCAGGTGTGCTACGCAGGAAGCCTTATAGGTGTGAGCAGTGTGGCTGCGGCTTCGACTGGAAATCAGTGTTTGTCATTCACCGGCGTGTGCACACCGGTGGGCACCTAGCCTCGGCAGTTGCTGAGAAATTGCCTCTGAGTCCCCACGAGGCACCGTTCCGCCCCCGGCACCCACCCGTGGGCCCCTGCAGCTACCCATGTGAGGAGTGTGGGCGCAGCTTCAGCTGGAAATCACAGCTGGTCATCCACTGCAAGAGTCACATCGGA